AGTGCACGGGTACTAGCCCTCCACAGTTAACTCATCTCACCAGCACCATTTCCACATCCTCTCAAAAGAAAAAACAAATAAACCAAAACCCCCAGTATTTCTTAGGATTTATGGCATATTTCTGAGATTAGGGATACAGCACAGAGGTATAGAGCATTTATCTATTATGGTCTGAAACCCTGGCTAGATTCCTATCACCACATAAATACACAAACCGGAAAGATGGGAAATTTCTGACCCTTGGACTTGACAAGCTAGCACACACAGAGTAAACCAAATCTTAAAAAGTGAAAAGTTAAACTGGGCCTTTCATCCCAGCACTCAGGAGGCAGAGACAAAAGGATTTCTGGGCGGGCAGGGCCAGACTGGTCTACATAATGAGCTCAGGTTAGCCAGCGTGAGGCCTGGTCTCTGTGATGCATGCACACACTCACATGCATACAGTGTGTGGTATGTATTTTAAAAGAAGAAATGTTAAGCTAAACTAACACAAAGTTTGTTTTGCTAAGAGAAAAGTACGGTATTCTTAGATTACTAATTTTAAAAATTAGTGATTTAAATTTAAAATGAGTAATTTTAAACTTGTTTATCTTTCTTTTGAGACAGGGTTTCACTGTCTGGACCAGAACTCTGAATGTAATACAGGGTGGCCTTTAACTTAACCCTAATCATCATGCTTTGCCTTCTGAGTGCTGGGATTATAGGCTTGCACCACCACACTTTGTTGAAAGTTAGTAATTTAGATTATTAAAAATTTGTTGAAGGTTAGTAATTTACATTATTAAAAATTTTGAACTAACTTGGCATTGAATAAATTAATCTTTTATTTTTAGTTTGATTTATCCATACTATTTAAAAAAAGGCAAAGAACTCAATAAACACTCAAGTATTAAACATTATTTATTTATTTATTTATCTATCTATCTTTTTGAGACAGCGTCTCATAATGGCTCTGGCTAACCCAGAACTTGCTTTGTAGACCAGGCTGGCCTTGAACTCACAGAGATCAGCCTGGCTCTGTGTCTTTTTTTAAATACATTTTATTTTTTATATTAATCACAGGTTATTTACTTTGTATCCCAGCCATAGCCCCCTCCTTCATTCCCTCCCAATTCCATCCCCCCTCCCTCATCTCCTCCCTGGCCCTTTCCAAGTCCACTGATAGGGGAGGACTTCCTCCCCTTCCATCTGACCTGGCTTATCAGGTATCTTCAGGACTGGCTGCAATGTCCTCCTCTGTGGCCTACCAGAGCTGCCCCCCCGGGGGGGGGGGGGGGAGGTCAAAGAGCCACCATTGAGTTCATGTCCGAAATAGCCCCTGTTCCCCTTACTAGGGAACCAGCTTGGATACTGAGCTACCATGGGCTACATCCGAGCAGGGGTTCTAGGTTATATCCACACATGGTCCTTGGCTGGAGAAACAGTCTCATAAAAGACCCCTGTTCCCTGATATATTTGTTCCTTGTGGAGCTCCTGTCCTCTCCAGGTCATACTAACTCTGCTTTCTTTCATATGATTCCCTGCACTCTTGGCTCTGTGTCTTAAGTGCTGGAATTAAAAGTATGTACCATCACACACAGCTTATTCTATTTACCTCCTATTGGACACTTTAAACGTCTTTGGTAGGTGGGTGGAGGGATAAGGACTTGTGTAGCCAAGGCTGGCCCTGAATTCAATTCTCCTGTCTCAGGCTCTCCAGTCTCAGAGTTACAGCTACATGCTGCTACTTCAAGCTGAATTTTTACTTTGGCAGATGATAGGAATCTAAACAGCATAGCTTTGGGTCAAGTTTACAATGCCTTTGCAGACATCATTTTAAGTAGGTCATTCAGGGCTTTGTGGCACAGCACTTCATTTGGAGTGGCAGATATCGATTCAACTTCTTCATCTGTCTCTGAAAAACTCTTGTGAAGTCAGGTGAGACACTGTAATCTCACAGGCTGCAATCTCAGCACTTGGGAGGCTGAGAAAGGCAGACAGCACTGAGTTCAAGGGCAGCGTCGCTATATAGCAAGACCCTCTCAAAACAAATGAACAAAAACAAACAACTCAGACAGCAGGCACAGAGGCTCATGCCTGTGACCCCAGAACTTTGGGGCCTATGAACAAGAACTGCTTTAAATTCAAGGCCACATAGTGAACCGACCTTGCTAAGTAGAGTGGTGCACATCTTTAATGCCAGCACTCAGGAGGCAGAGGCTGGTGGATCTCTGAATTCAAGACCAGCCTGGTCTATAGAGTGAGTTCCAGGACAGCCAGGGTTACACAAAGAAACCAAGTCTGGAAAAACAAACAAACAAACAAACAAACAAACAAACAAACAAACATAAATGTTTAAAAACTATAGTGAGCAGATCGTGTCTCTTAAAAAAAAAAAAAGGCGTGTTTGTGTGTCAAGGCGGCGTGGCAGGAGCATGCTTCCAATTGACCTGGTGTTCAGTTAACAGAACCCATGTGGTAGAAGGAGAGAGCTAAACCTACAGGTTGCCCTCTGATTTCCACACATGGGCTATGCCAGGCACCGGACCCACCCACCAAATAAATAAAGTATTGCAAGTGGGACAACCCTGAGGTCCTACAAGCTTGTATTTCACCTAGTAACAACAGGAAAATGGTTACAATCCCTTTCCAGAGCTTTGTGGTGATTAAACAAAGAAAGTGGAGCTAGGGATGCAGTTCAGTTGCAAAATGCTAGTTCATTACTCTCAACATCCTGGGTTCAACCCTGAGCACAGAGCAAGGGGAGGCGAGGCAGCACTGGAAAGGCAGCTACACTCTTGGCCACTTCTCAGCCCCTTCAAAGAAGCTACTTTTTTTTTCTTTTTGGTGGGGGTGCTGGATTTCAACACAGGGTTTCTCTGTGTAGTCTTGGCTGTTCTGGAACTCACTCTGTACACCAGGCTCTCCTAGAATTCAGAGATCCATCTCCTTCTACCTTCCAAGTGCTGGGATTAAAGGCCTGAGCCACCATGCCCCATTACAGAAGGGACTCTTTGCACTGGACATAGGGTGCTACAGAGAACCACCACTGGTTAACACAAAGAACAGGTGACTGTGGAGTACTCATACCCCAGAGAGACATCTACACGCAGCAGTCACACCCGAGCTCAGGGAGCACTGTGGAAGAAAGGGAGGAAAGACTGAAGGGTCGCAGGACCAGGAGGACAGCCTGGCAGTGATGCTGCCTTCATGAACCCTCACCCGCATGGATGGGGAGGAGCCAATCCCATCCCCACAAAATCCACGGCTGCTGAAAGGGGGAGTCAGTTCCACATCCCAGGGTCAGCCCTGCACCCATATGCACACAGGCAACACTAAGTGGACTTTATGTATACCCTACTTATACAGTTATACACATATGTCACTTACTATATATATAATAGAAGAGGCCACATATTTGAGAGGGTGAGGTGGAGACACAGGAGGAGTTATGGGGAGGGCTGGGTGTGACCATAATGCACTGTACTTACGTATAAAATTCTAAAAATAAATTAAAAGTAAAAGGATAAAAATAAAGAAAACACTTTTCCTTGGCTATATGTAAAAGTCAATCCTTTTAAATGGCTGATATTCTGTAAAAGTGACTAATTTCGTTTTCACTTCCTTTCATTCACAGATTTCATAGGGGCCACAGTCCAGTGACCCGCAGGGTCACAGCCTGGCCAGGGCACACCCTCCTCGGAGTGGTGCCTTATCTCTGTGAGCAGGGAAACAGGAAACAGAGCGGAGCTTTCCTGTCGCTCTGCTTAGATGATTCTGAGCCTGTCTTGGCCTTCCAGGGTGTGACAGCTACTCTCTGCCGGCCTCTGGAGGGTTGGACTTGCACCAGTGTGCTTCCATTATATTAAAGTCTTAACGCATGCATTAAGCAGCCAGCATTCAGCAGCCACACTTTTCATTATGGGTGTTTAAAATTATCAAATAAATCTGAACAACAGGTTTGATGTTTTGCTTGAGAATTGCTTACACCAACTCGTAAGAGCTGAGTGAAATGAGAAGGCCTGCCGCCAAACCTGACAAGAAGGTTTGCTTAGCCTACAGATGAAAATGGCTCAGACTTGAAAAGTGACAGGATTAGTTCAGTGTTGTGTGATTTGCCTGGAATGGTTGACAGTGATTGGTAATTAATTAGTCCCTAGTAATTAATTGTTTTGTTTCAATGTTGGAGAACTTGAGATAAATCTACCACAATACAAAGAATTATATTACATCTGCAAATGTTTACTAATTGGATCCCTTAAGTATATGCTTGTACTGACTTATGACTCCCATTATGGGTGCGAATGCTTTTGAATGTGGCCAAGAAATGTCTACCATCAATCTTAAAAACTGAAGACCAGGAGGCCAGTGAGACAGCTCAGTGGGTATAAAGGCAGCTGCCACGGAGCCCGACGTGACAACTGGATTTTGCTCTCTGGGGCCTACAAGGTAGAAGGAGAGAACTGCCTCCCCATGTTGTCTCTTGACCTCCACCCTCACCCAGTTCACGTGTACACCCAAGTAAAGTAAAACGTAAGAAAATATTTTAGAAGGCAGATTCTCAAATGCTATTTTGTACAAAGTTAGAAAAACAAAACCCTTCAAATTCTTAAAATTCTGAAAGACACTAAAAGACATTTAGGAAATTTCCCTTTATGATTTGGATCTAATTTCTGTTTCTTCCAGTCAGCAAGACCTGCTTAAATTGCTCTCTTCTCCAAATCAATCTCAATCTCTGTCTCTCTCTCCCCCTCTCTCTGGCTTTCTACCTCTCTAGTTTGTTCTTTCTCTCTCTCTCTTTCTTTCTTTTTTCCTGAGTCTGGGTCTCTCTACATAGCCCTGGCTGTCCTGAAACTCACTCACTATGTAGACCAGGCTGGCCTTGAACTCACAAAGATCCTCCTGCCTCTGCCTCCTAGTATGAAGGGAATGTGCCACCATGCCCAACCCTGGTTACAATTCTCTAACACTCAAAATGAGACTGCTATTTCTCCCTCATTAAGCAGAGCCCAGTAACAAACCTGTTATCATTTGCTGTGCATCGTAGGGCTCCATGTAGCCATCATTTTCACCCATTCTCTCTGCATCCCTTTGACCTTTTGTACGTTTGGCATCATATGGGTCAGCATAATCTTCTAAAATGATGACCTGTCCAATAAGAAAGGACAGTTGCTAAGGATTCTCAGACATGAAAACGGCAACAGCACTGAAATGGCTACTGAAATCTCATTAGTCCAGACAGTTTTTATACTTGATCATGTATCTCTGTCAGATATCTTTTTCTTCTTTTTTTTTTTAACTTGATTTGTGACAATTTACCTAAACTCTTGCTTGTGCATTAGAGGATGGCAGGGTGGGCAATGGGAAGTGGCAGGTGTCTGTGGCTTCAATTGGTAAGAAGAACTGATCTATGATGTACTGACAGCCCTGAATCCAGCTCCTCTCAGCTAAGCAATACAGTCTAGAGAACCAGCTACCCACAGCACTGAGCTGAGTCAAAATAAACCCAAGACCTGCCTCCTGGCTTCAAGGAATTTTTACAAGCTCCAAAGAGACAGGCTTCATAGTTTAGCACTGAATAATATGAGAGAATTCTGGGTCCCATAAGCCACAGGGATAGTGAGCCAGTGGCTATAGACAGATAGAAATTTGATGTTATTTGTGTGCACGAGCATCTATCATTCCAAAACCACAGGGTGCCTGGAGAAGCACGGTATGCTGTCTTGCTCTGTAGTGGCTGGGTGACAGTATCAGCAGGGAGCAACCCTCCTCAGACAGGAAGCCAGAGCCCTGCTCCACAGTCTGGCAGAATGTTCCCTAGAAAGCTCCCACTACGGGAGCCAGAGGAAAGAATCCAGACAGTGAAGGGGAAGTGAAGAGAGAGGAACAGACTAGATGATTCCTCCCCCTTGGAGAAGATAGCTGAAGAAACTTCGGCCACCCAAAAGTGATACCCACAATTGAGGGTGTGATTACCACACACACCATCCCACTCTGCTTGATGCTGTGTGTGCTATAGCTTAGATACTGCAAGGAAGTCAGGCTGTGACACTCACAGTCCAGGGCTCTAAGGTGCTGTGAGGCTCTTGTCCAACAGTGGGGCATGCCACCCAGTTATATATGAGATGCTTTCCATGGCTCTGCTCAGTGCCTGGCACAGGAGAGGCACACTGGACATCTCTGTAAATGCCTGAATGGAGGAATGAGCAGAGGTGCCCAATATATGCCATCACACATGTGCCACAAGTTCATGACTGTCTAGGTAGGCAGCTTGTTTAAAGAGATTGTTTAACGCAGTCCCTCACCAGGAAGGTATTGCTCGGGCTGAAGTCTAAAATCTGGGTGGGAGCTCTTCTCTCCCCCCAGTTTCTCACAGGAGAGAAAATCCAGCTTCGCCCTGCAAGGATGGAGAGTAGGTTCACAGATCTACCCCTCCCCTCCCCTTTCCCACACTGGACAGTACCCAGAAGCCAGATGCAGGAAACACCTTCTTTTCTCCTGATCTGTAACTTCCTTAAGGGCATTTCCTTGTTAGGGACTGTGCCCCCTTAGTGTCCACGGCCCTTACTCTATATGGCTACAACACAGCAAATATCCACAGAATGAATGGAAGGCTTGTCACTTGGCAGTGCTGAAATTCTGAAAGGCTGGAAGATGGGAAATCCACACTTCACAACTTATAGGCTACTGCTGCTCTACAAGCTCAAGAGGTGTAAGCCAGACAGAAGTCTAGCTTGGTAGACCCTTTGACATTAAACTTGAAAACAAGAACCAAACTACATCACACCCATAAAAGGGCCAATTTCTTTCCCTTCCCTGCCAGGGCTCTTCTGAACCACTAACCCAAACCAACCACAGCAAACCTTGCTGTCAAGGTTTCCAAGTCTGCGTGAGAATTTTTCCAAGAGAAACTAAGTCTAATGATTTCTGAAGGTGGGAGGCAGAACTTACGCAGGGGAGGACCTTAGAAAACATCTTCAACTTCTCTTACGCATAAAGACTATTGGGGTTCAGTGGGTTCCCGTGAACCACCACAGCCCCGCGCTGAGAGCTGGGTAAAGACGCTGTATTCTTACCATGTCATGCTGTTTCATTATCTTGCCTTTGTCCAGCTCGGGGCCCAGGGAGGATGGGGAAGAGGACGCGGAAGAAGAAGAGCTGCCGGAGCCGCTGGTGCTGCCGCCGCCCGGGTAGCCACTCTTACCATTCTTCTCCTGCGTGTCCACCTTGATGAGCCTACTGATATAGGTGCTGCAGCCCGTGCTCTTGGCCACCGCAGCCCGATGGGGCTCCTCCTCGGTGGTGGTGGCCGTAGCGGCGGCGGTGACCCGGGAGTTCTTACGGCCTTTGCCTGCCGCGGCCTGGATCAGACCCTGCAGGCTGTCCCTGGACAGCCGGCTGTCCTTGGGGGGGCCGCTGGCCGCCCTGCTGCCTCCCAGCTCGGCCGCCGAGTTCTTGCGGCCCTTTCCCGGGGTGGGCGCCGCGCCGCCGGTCTCCGAGTTCTTGCGCGGCTTGCCACCGGCGCCCCCGGGCCTGGCGCGCTCCGACGCGGTCTTCAGAGTCAGCGGGAACTCCTTGAACCACTTCGCCGCCATCGGGGGGCCCGGGAGCGTCGAGGCCACGGAGCAGACGAGCGAGGAGGCCCAGCCAAGACACCGAGGGGCGCCAGAGGCCGGGGGGCGCCGCATTCCCCGGGGCTGGGCGCTGGAAACCGCCGCGAGGCTCCCGCTCGACGGTCGCGTGCGCCCGGCAGGGAGGGCACCGCCGCCCGAAGCTGGCCGGCGCGGCGACCGGACGGCGCGGCGTGCTCTGCACTCCACCGCCTGGGCCGGCGGGCGCCGGGGCCTCCCCTGCTTTTCCTCCCGAGGTGGGCGAGGCCGAGCTCGCGGAAGCCCCTGCAGCCCTGCCCACACTCCCAGGGACCGCGGCGGACGCGGTGTCCCGGCGCCCGCCCCACGGGGCGCGCACAGGCCGGCCGGCCGCGCCCCTCCCTCGCCGGCGCCGCGCGGGGGCGCCTGCGCACCGCTCGGCCTGGCCCCGCCGACGGGACGGGTGCGGGGACGGGTGGCTCGGAGCGCGCTCGCGGACGATTGCCGCTTCCCTCGCTCCCCTATGCCGCACGCGCGTCAGAGGCCGCCGCCTTCCCTGGGCGCGGGGGGAGGGCGGCAAGGCTCGAAGCTCGGCCGGGCGGCGAGAGCGCGAGACCCGCGCAGGGCGCGACGGGCGAGGCGGGCACCCCTGACCGGCTCTGAACGGAGACGCCTCAGCGCGCTCCCGGTGGCTGGCTCTCTCATTCTAGCTCTCTCAAAGCGATTTCAAAGCTTTTTGGTTAAAAAGGTTAAACACGAACGGGAAACTAAATCTTTTCGTTTAAAAACGGAGCGTGGCAGTTGCTTACAAGTCTTCACTGGTAGACCTGCGGACTTTTGAGGCAGAACGTGTCGTTTTGTCTTTCCGGATACAAGCCAAAGAAAAATGCCAAGGCCGAATGACCTGGTACTTTTAAGGTGCTGCTGTTCTCCCTCCCCCCCCCCCCGCCTCCCTCTTTCTCTTTCTCTCCTTCTCTCTGAGCTTCTGTCCTCCCTTCTACTCAAACTTGCCTCCAGTTCTGTGTTTTGAAGGACAACCCTGAACTTCGGCAGGATGGCGAAGGGCGTGCCACCGCTGTGAATTTCTTGAGGTGCTGAGGATGAAAGCCAGGGCTTCGTGCATGTTAGACAAGCGTTCAGTCAACCGCACTACATCTTCAGCCCCGTGCAGCTTTTGATAGATTTCAATTACTGATCTCAGCAGTGTAACTTTTCTCTATTCCTCCTACCCATCCTTTTAGCCACCAAGGGTTTACAGCTTGCCTCCTTTGCCATTTTTCTCTCAAACGCCAATAAAATCGTCTTCTAACCTCAAAGTAAGAAAGAAACACCACCACCGTTGTACAACAATGACCGCCGTAAGTGTGCTACAGAGCCTTAGGCAGCAGGCTTGAAAGCCCAGGTTGTAAGCTGTGGGAACTGGATGCCACCAGCTACCAACCTTCAACAGATTATGGATGGTAGTTGGTCAGGTGGAAGAAATGCAGGCTCACCCTGACCATTCAGTTGCTGAAAACGCATCTTAACTTAATTGAGGTATAATTTAGAATTCACAAAATTCAGCTATTTAAAGTGTATACTTATGGGATTTTTTTTTTTAATGCATTGAAATCTCACTCATAGTCTGATTTTAAGTCATCCAACCAATAGGTAGGAAGATAGCTCCAGCTGATAAGTGTGAACGCTGGCACCCACACAGAAAACCTCTGGGAGCCGTGAGCTGTCATCCCAGGCCCAAGGAGGCAGAGAAAAGCGGGGCCCAGCACTGTTGTAGCTTTAGCCTAATGGGCAAACCCCGAGTTCAATTAAGAAATCTCTCAAAAAACAAAGTGGGCATTGTTGAGGAAGGACATTCAAGGTTAACTTCTGGCCTGCAGGCATGTGCAGACATGTCCACACTGCACTCGATAGCCATACACACTAAAAATAAAACACCTTCCCAGAGATATATTTGTGTTTCTTAGCAGCCACTCTTCATGCCCCCACAATGGACAGTGTATTAATACCTGTGGTTCTCTAGTCTAGAAGAATAGAACACACACACACACACACACACACACACGCATGCATGCACTCACACACATGCTGATTTGTTGGCCTACATAATAGAGTCTGGGTAGTCCAATAGTGGCTGTCTCACATCAGAGGGGCCAGGAATATGGTAGTTGCTCAGTACACCAGGCTGAATGTCTCCCCAGTCCCAGCCTGTCACAGAAGGCCTGGAGGATTCCTGGAGAGCTTACGGTCTGTGTTGGAAGCCTAGAGAAGCTGGTTCTAATACCAGCAAAGAAATGTGGTAGCAGAGGCTAGATGAACGTGCTCACAGAGCGAAGGCAAGCAGGCAAAAGGCAAGCTTCCTTCTTCCACACCATTTGTATCTGGACGCTTCAGCCTTCTGAGTGATGGGACTAAAGACATGTGCCACTGTGTAGGCCCAGCACGAGCCTAATTTCCAGAAGGGATGAAGAGAACTCAGGAGACCGGGTCTCATCGATGCAAAATCGAAAGGTTTATTTTAACCATTGCACAGTGGGGTCACCCCTGCTGGTCAGCAAAGAGTGGCACTAGGAGACAAAGGCCTTGGGTTTTTAAAGGATAAGGTGCAGGAATATTTAGGAGTTGCAGTGTTGGCAATTCAGGAATGAGAATGAGGAAGCTATAAAGTAAGATAATTGGTTAGTCTTAGGTGCTCAAGCTTGGCCAGTCCTGCCAAGTGTGGATGTGGCTGCAATTAAAGGTGGGGGTGGGGTGATTAGCTCATCCTGAAGATTGGGGGTGCGGGCTTTTGGCCGGAGGTCAGGGGCTACTCAGAAGAAGGACTGAGGCCATCTGGGTTGGTTGCTAAGAAACACTATCTCAAAGACAAGGGTCTGGTCATTCTTTTTGCTGAGTGAAGGTCATTGCTTAATTGCTTTTTTATATCTGTCCTCACAGATGGCCAGGGTCACATTCCTTTGTTCTCTGGAAAGGTACTAAGAAGCTTTAGCTTAACCTGGGCCTAAAACTCAAAACTATAGGCTTTAGAAGACATACAGGTTACAAAGTTAGTCTGATCCTTTCACTACCACCACTTGGTTTTTCTAAATATGACATATTTCCAGGACTTTCTGATATCTCCCTAAATTACACCTGCCATTTTGGTATGTGTTTATGTGAAGTGTCATTCTCAGCACTGACTATTATAAAATCAAAATATTAATCAACTTTGAAAAGCATTGCAGATGCTGTATTTATTTGGAATCAAATATTCATCCAAGATTTAATTCTTTACACAAAACTAAGCACATCCATTTTATTACTATCCAAATTTGCTTTCATCAGTTTGGGTTTTTAACAATATTCATTATTTGGGCTGGAGAGATGGCTCAGAGTTTAAGAGCACTGGCTGCTCTTCCAGAGGTCTTGAGTTCAATTCCTAGCACCCACATGGTGGCTCAAAACCATCTATACTGGAATCTGATGTCCTCTTCTGGCAGATAGAGCACTCATACTTTAAATAAATAAAGTCTTAGGAAAAAAAAGTTTAAAATCTTCATCATTTATTTTATTCGTGAGTGTTGGAGCACATGCACCATGACATGTGTACAGAGGATAGAGCCAAGCGTGGGACTGAGTTTTCTTCCACACTGTGAGAGCTCAGCACCACTCAGGTGGTGCTGAGATATCTCCATGGCCTGGCTTTCATCTTTCATAAATGGTAAGACTGAGCTGGTTCTATGGCTCAGTGGGTGAAAAATCCAGCAATGTGAGTTTGCTCCCCAGAACCCATGGGGAAAAGAGAGAACTGACTTCTAAAACCTGCCCTCTGACTTTCACGTGCATGCAGTAGAGTGCATCTGTGCTTATATATACTATACATACATAATAATAAAATAAAAGTTTAGAAAATATAAATAGTAAGACTATATGAGTACCAAGTAATTGTCTTAAAATAAATTTCTTTATGATTTCCTATTAGTACATCCTTGATTTAGTTTTTCTATTCATCTATCTATCTATCTATCTATCTATCTATCTATCTATCTATCTATCTATCTTAGTTTTTCAAGATATGTTTCTTTGTGTGGCCATAACCGTCCTTGAACTCACTCTGTAGACCAGGCTACACTTGAACACTTGATGGTCCTGGGTGCTATAAGAAAGCAGGCTGGCTGATGGAGAGATGGCTCAGCAGTTAAGAGCCCTGTCTGCTCTTCTGGAGGTCCTGAGTTCAATTCCCAGCAACCACATGGTGGGTCACAACTGTTTACTCTGTAGTGCCCTCTTCTGGAGTGCACTTAGAGCATTACTGGCATATGATAAATAAAATCTTTATTTTTTAATATAAAATCTTTAAAAAAGAAAAAAAGCAGGTTGAGAAAGCCATGAGAAGCAGGTAAACAGCACTTCTCACAGCCTCACTCCTCAATGGCCTCTGCATCAGCTCCTGCCTTCAGGTTCCTGCTAGCTTGAATTCTTGTCCTGTCTTCCCTCAGTGATAGACTGTTAACCTGGAAGTATAAGTGAAATAAACCCTTTCTTTTCCAAGTTGATTACAGCCATGGTGTTTTATCATAGCAGTAGAAACCCAGCAAAGACACCTATATATCTGGAAAAGGATTTTCAAATGGAAAGTTTCAGAAGCCCTATCTATGATGTGGATGCTTCAATTAGCATCTTGTAGAAAAATCATCCTCAAGGTCTCTGCTTAGAGCTGCAGGTCTAGCAGAGGTCTTCTCAGACCTCATTCTCACAGGGTAACCATTGTGTAGAAGTAGGCCTTAAAAGTTGTTCATGGTTTCAGAGGCTGGAGAGATGCTCACTGGTTAAGAGCACTGGCTGCTCTTGCAGAGGACCCAGGTCTGATTCTCAGCACCCACATGGCAGCTCACAACTTTTTGTTGTTCTTGTTTCTCGAGACAGGGTTTCTCTGTGTAGCTTTGGCTGTCTTGGACTCGCTTTGTAGACCAGGCTGGCCTCAAACTTGTGAGATCCACCTGCCTCTGCCTCCCAAGTGCTGGGACTAAAGGCGTGTGCCACCACAACTTGGGTCAGTTCCATGAGATTTAATGCCCTCTTGTGACGTTTACAGGCGCTGCATGCATGGGGTACACATGAACACCTGCAAAGCAAAACACCCATACACATAAAATGAAAGTAATTTTTTTTAAACTTAAAGTTGTTCACAGAGTCTGTGTTTCTTTGTGCTTGTAACCAATCACCACACCCTTAGTGGCATAAACAGCACATGCTGTCTTGCAGTTCTG